TACAGGTAAAAATGCTAGTGAAAATTAATTCAGAAAATCTGAGTAATTTCTTTGTGTATTCTATGCAGTTTGCGTCATGGTTACTAAATGACATCAACATCCTTTTGTCACAACGTCGTTTAACAACTTTTAGCAACAAGACGACCTGTCTTTTAGCGACTTTACCTAAAAATGAATTTGTAACACAGCCTGCGTCGCTGAAGCGGCCTCGCACTAGCGTCTGCTACGAGAGCTGGAGGCCCGGCTGCATACGACGCTGCGGCCGGAAGAGCCTCGGTGAAAGGTTGAGCCGAAGCTGGAAGCGAGTGACGCTTTGCTGCGGTGAGATCTGGGGCGCGGCCCAGGCTTGTTGAAGGCCTGCCGCTGCGACCCAGCGCTTAAGCGAGGCTTCATGAAACACTGAAACAGTCGAAGCAAATGTGCCGAGGCTTCGAAACAATTCGACACCCGTCTCTACCCGTCATTTTCAAGTATTGCTCTGAAACAACATTGACAACGAATCAGTTAAGCGAATTGACTTATAACATATATGTTGTGCTCATCTATCCACCATGTGGGTTGGGGGAGTGGTTAGTGTGCACGATTGGAATGTTGTCAGAACCTGTCATGTTATGTTCGAATCCCGGGTGAAGCATGTATATAATTATAATAAATATTTGAAAGTTGTGTTTTTATTGTTCTGTTCTTGTAATGTGTTGTAACATCTCTCTGACAACTGAATGAACTCTTTGTGAATATGTTATTTTGGTCATGAAAAAATTAACATTAATAAAAGACATCAAGCCACAATGCCTGGCATTTTTTACATATAAAGATTTTTATTTAAATATATTAATTTTTCTGCTGCATTAACTCTATAAACTCTATAAAACTAACTCTTTTATACTTTGCGGGAGTTAGGTTAAGACAGAAGTGTGATTGTGTGGTTTGTTCCCAACCTTGTCGATCAAAAGCGGGTCTCGAAACACTTGTGAAACGCCCCATTGCTTTGATTCGCCTTAGTCACGTGACATGGGTGTTTCGAATCACACTTCGGAGCAGTGTTTCGAAACATCTGCGCTTCGGGATCTCGACACTGTGTCGAAAAGTCAGTTTCGCGTCAGTCATCCCTATCTACAACTTGCCATTCAGTGGACTATTATTACATTCTGTTTATGATTGTAATTAATTCAGACTCAGTGGCAACTTTTTTTTGCTTTTTTTTTTTGTTTTTTTTGCTTTTTTTGCAAACTTTTGCATTCCTGCAAAATGAATCCTAAAACCTTGTTTTGAAACTGTTAACAATAGTCTTCCTAGAACGTCTTCTGCGTACCACAGTCAGCGGAAGTGAGAAAAAAGTGTTTATTACGTTTGAAATATGGATATTTATCTTACAAAAATGCATGGATTCACTACAGGAGGCCTTTATTCACCCCCCGGAGCCGTGTGAGGCACGTTTTATTATG